GCTGAAACACATAAAATAATTTATAATATGTAGAATATGCTTCAGTTCTATCAATTAAATATCGAGTCTGCAGGTAATTTCCCAGTTGGGTTTTACATGCTATGCTGAAAACCATTCCAATGAACAAAACTTCTCAAAAACAGATTGTAAAATAGTGAAGTTGATTTGTTGAATACTTTACCCCCAGTTATCAACTCATTTCCATTATAATACCACTATTAGAAAGGAAGCAGGAATTATATCCCTCATTTGCAAAAGATAAAATTAGGAGGTCAAATGATTTGTCCACATTACGCATTTGACTGAAGGAAAGAAAATCTAGACTGTCTATTTTCTAGTTCATTTCCCCTTTCAAACCACCAAACAATTACATGGGGGCACGTGTTGCTGAACTTTCCTGAATTTGAGGGCTCCGTGCCATTATGTTTCACCCAGCATTTTGTTCACAGCTTCTACTTGTGACTGGAGGCCAGTTCTTCTTCCATACATTCTAGCTGATTTCTGGGGGTTGGTTAGTAACCGACAACTATCAGAACGTAGCTGGCCTTAATATCTGTTTTCCGTAATAAGAGCCTGTGATGTGGGTCCAAGCAGTTACTGACATGAACACACACTTTCATCTAGGACTGACCTGTTCACTCTGACTGCCAGTAGAGTCCAACTGACTACTAGAAGACATGGTATGTGCCAACAAACAACAGATTGCTAATGACTAGCTGTCTGAACCCCCAGATCGCAGGCTGATAATATTAGTGACTATTTGAGTACCTGTTAATGCCAGGTGCCTCACTGAATGCTTTATGTACATTTGCATCTAAGCCTCACAATAACTATAAGGCAGGTGCTATTACTTTTCTTAATTTATGGAGGAGCAAGCTGGGGGTTTAGAATGGTGAAGTAATTTGATATCTCACAGCTAGAAAATGGCACTGCTAAAATACAAGTTCAGGGCGCCTGGGTGGCTCAGATGGTTAAGCGTCTGCCTTCGGCTCAGATCATGATCCCAGGGTCCTGGGATCGAGTCCCGCATCAGGCTCCCTGCTCCTTGGGAGCCTGCTTCTCCCTCTGCTTCTCTCTCTCTCTCCCTCTCTCTCTCTCCCTCTGTCTCTCATGAATAAATAAATAAAATCTTTAAAAAAAAAAATAAAATACAAGTTCAGGGGTGGGGGTGGGTCTTAACAATGAACACACCCCTAAGTAATTTTCAATAATTACCAATTTGTTTTCCCATTCTGAATATTCTACTAATTGGACTGTAGATAGTGATACCATCTCTTTCTAAGGATTCCTTCTACCAAGCAAGTAATCCTGGTATTGTGAGTCAAAAGATCAAGGAAGGGTAAAAGAATATTACCTCATATTTAAAGTTAAAAAGTCTGTGAAGGGAGTATGGCATTGATGAAAAAAAATAGCCACATTACTAAGATCTCGGAGAGCCAAACATGAAGAACATAACCACAGAGGGCTATTATGTTAATAGACTCTAGAAATCTATAAACATTTACACTACCTTTGCTTATGGTTTGAATACATTATGGTTTGAAGGTTGCTATTTTTTCCAGTATTTTAATACATTTCTTTAAAGCAATTTTCAATATTCTAATTAGTAGTCCCTGTATCTTGCAGAATCTAAATCTCATTAAAGGAAGTCAGTGTGAAAATAGGATTTACTTAGAAATCTTTATTTTAAAAAATGGCTAGACTTTAATCTATTAAGTGAGAATATCAAAAGTGATAAAATTATGTCAAATCTTATATACCACATTAAAAAATAACTTTAAAAAATCTTCAGATGTTTCCCATTAGTTATAAGACACTCCACTTTGTTGTAGTGTTCTACAAACTTAAATGTTAGCCTTAAAAAACAAAACAAAACCCCACAAAACAACCTCCCAAAGTACAAACTCTTACCAAGAAACTCCAAATCAGACACCAATAAAGCCAACCCCTGAAGATCATCCTACCATTGTCTATTCTTACTAATGGAATGAAGTTCTTACTTCATAAACAGACTTCAGGTCCACGAATAAAAAAAGACAAAAAGAATTCAAGAGTTTACAGATCAATAAAATTAAACTCTTTCTATATATGTCCCTGAAATCATGGAGAAATTCAAGGAAAGATGGGGTAACAGGCAATGACTGTAACTGACAAAATGTTTTAGTCATGAAGTACCCATTTCATAATATTAAAAAGAAAAAAAAGCAGCTCATTTCCTTAAATTGAAGGACTCACTTGAGACAGAGGCCATTTAAGCTGGTGTGTTAAACAGTCACTATTTAAAGAGGAAAATTTAATTAATGCTTTAGTATGTCAATGGCTAGTACAATATTTAATATCTGAAAATAAACAACCTAAAGCATTTGATTAAATGCTGTGATCCCTAAACTACTTAAAATCAAGAAGAAAAATCGTAGTCCTCATCACTGACCAGTAAAACTTCTAAAACGTAAAACAAATTTTACAAAAAGGGTGCCTGCTGAGAAAGGAAATCAACTTTAATAAAAATGTCGGGGGGGGGCGCCTGGGTGGCTCAGCTGGTTAAGCGTCTGCCTTCAGCTCAGGGCATGATCCCAGGGTCCTGGGATTGAGCCCCACATCGGGCTCCTGGCTCAGCGGGGAGCCTGCTTCTCCCTCTCCGTCTGCCTCTCCCCCTGCTCATGCTCTTTTTTTCTGTCTGTATCTCTGTGTCTCAAATGAATAAATAAAATCTGTAAAAAAAAAAATTAAAAAAAAAAAAATGTCTGGCGGTTGACATTTTAGGAGTAAAAGCAGTCAGTCACAAGAGAATGAACGTCCTTCTGTTTCAATTACCTAGTTAGAGAGGTTAACTCTACATATGGTTAGAAAAATGATGTTTTTCTTTATTTGGAGAATATATCTAAAATGAAGTACAAAACCAACCACAGAAAGGGAGACTACACTACCATATGTCATTCTACTGCTCCCTACTTGTCTGCATCCGTGCCACCTAAACACCTCACCCTGCCAGACTGTTCCTGTTCTTCCACCAACATTTCCAGTGGGCTCAGTTTGGCAAGAAAACTACTAGGTGACCCTTTGGAGGCACAAGGGAATATGTGAGAGGGCATAAAGGAGTTTCTGAGCAGTTCTCAGTGCTCAGCAATGCCCTCTGGCAAAGGAGACTGAAAGGAGTCAAATGCAGACAGTTGGGGGCTGGGCAGTGGTCAGCGTGGGGAGTTGTTGGGGGGGCGAAAAGAGGAGTGAGCAAAGAAAGGACAATATGAGTGAAATAAGCATGCTGGGGAACTATAGAAAGAGCTATATCAATAAAAAGATCCTTTGACTCTTGTGCCTTAAAATGCCCAAACCTTTGGGCATTCCACAGACCAATGCAAAAACTTTGTTAGCTACATGCTTGCTATTCAGTTCGTGATAAACAAGACCCTATTCAGTAATTACTAATAATCATTATCTTTAATATCACTAGAGGATTTAGAAATCCTACACTTTAATGTTTTCCAACATGTTCCATTCTTTTATGCCTTTCTCATTCTTATTTTTGAAAACACGAGAGAGGTTCTTTTCCATTACTCTTGCCTAATTGAAAGGCATGAATCAATTTTGAACAACATGAATGGTATTACTTATTTCAAACTACCCAAATGAGGGGGGCAAAAGGTATGCCATGCTTCCTACTGAGAAGTTTTCCTGGATGAAATCTCATCCATTCAAATTAATAAAGTATCTTAAAAATTTACTTGTGGCACTTAAAAACTAAATCGTCATTAAAGTCTTCCCAATTTTCTTCTATATTGGCTTCAAAGGATGGTATTTACACAGATGTTGTCTGTGTGCCTGAATAATCCCAAACTGTCAGTTATATTTAAAAATCATCAGAGTTCCAAACTGAACAAATGAAAATGTATTTAAGAGGCTGGCTTTTGCTACTGACTCTGAAGTAGAGATGGTAATTTCTTTGATAAGATGACAGTGATACTGCTTCTTTCATTTTTGATTCCCAGTAAGATTTTGGTTCACAGTAAGAATATACTGACTGCCACAGTACAGTCATTTTCTACACAAGAAAATTTATGTATTAGAAAGCACTAACAAATATTTCATACCGTGGGCTACAAAAAAACAAACAAACAAAAAAAACTAGCCTTCACTCATAAGAACCTTGCTGGGCAAAGAATATAAGGAGCACAGAAATTTTATGACACATGGATACACTGATTGTTAAAACAGGCGTCATGAGAGGTAAGTATAATCTAAAGTAATAATTTTTAAGAAGTCCATTTCCTGGTTGTTTGGCAATTAAAATGTATCTAAACAAACCAACCCAAAACTTCTCACAGAATTCTGTGAAGCTTTTGTAGGGGAGGAGGAAATAATGCATTTGTAAGGAAATTCAACTTCTATGTGGGGGAAGTATTGTTTAAAAGAACTCCAATTTTTAACATTTGCCCACTAAAAATCCAAAGTTCAACCATATTACTCATGTCAAACATGTCACTCCTCAGCAACATCTTTGGTTACCTGCACCCATAGTTTATAAAAAGAAATTCAGTCTATTGCTTTGAGGGAATAAAGGACATCCATATTTTCCAAATTATAATAAAAAATAGTTACAGAAAAAAATATTAAGAATAAAAATAACTTATCCAACTCTAGTGACTTCTTAAATTAGATCTGTTTGGATTAACTTGCCTAACACAGGCTAATCTACTGTCACCTTCTACCTGCAAATCCATGCACAGGAGTGGTGCTGTTCTTGGGAATCCCTAATGGACATGTGATAGCTAATAACAAAAGGTGCATGAGAAAAGTTTAACTGAAGTTTAATAATTAGAATAAGCCAGTAAACAAATTTGGAACAGGAAATAAGCCTCTGGAAGAGGCACTGCAAAGTTTAGCAATGTCTGTGCATTTTATAAAATGCTTGGATGTTGAAAATCCAATGCTAAGTTTACACTTTAGATTGGGAAATAATTATATCTAGTCTTTAAAAACCTGCACATTCTTTGGTTCATCTTTTTAAAAAAAGGTCTTATTCAATTGAGCAACTATATAAGCAAACTATATTTTCATTTCCTTGGTCCCTACTCCCTTATACTGGCGCACTCATTTAATTTCTTTCAGTGGACAGGAAACGCACCATATCCCCCTGCCTGGATGGGTGTTTTTGGAGAAGCACAAGCATATAGACTAAAATCCTCTGTTTGGAAGCCAGCCCGATTCAAGGAGGGTTCTGATGCACTGCGGTGAATTTTTGGCAATGAGCGGGCCAGCAGCTCAATAGAGGCGAGAATCTAAAAAAAAGAAAAAAAAAAAGAAAAAAGAAAGTAGAATGAAAATCTAGGTGGTGTTAATCTTTAAAATCCCCATCATACTTTACAAGAAAGCAACTGAAATCTTACACTGTTTTTGGTATTATCCTAAATGTTTGAAAAAAATACCGAATAAACTGATATTTTTTCCTTACAAAGAAAAGAAAATGACCAAACTCCTATAGCTTTATTTTTATTTATTTATTTTTTACTCCTATAGTTTTAATTTCTGTGAAATGTATGGGGAAAGTAACCTATAGTTAGCTTTTATTTACATTTGAGATCATTTGCCAGCCTTGGAACAGTAAATAATAAAAAAGTTTAAACCAATTATATGCCTATTTCTCACAGACCACAGTCCCTTTGGGGAAGAAGATGGAGTGTCAATGAGTAAAGCACTGGATGACTTCACAAACAGAATCATCAGAGCAACTCATTCTTTTAAGAAATTTAGTAACGGGAAATGTCTTCCACATACATAATTAAAAGTAGGACCCCAATGACCCAGGCTGCTAGTGGCACAGGAGTGAGAAGTGACAGGTGACAATCCAAGAGTGGAGAAGACAGGCAAACTACAGATAGACACCAATACACAGAACGTAGAAACTCCATATAGTTTAAGGTACAGAGAAATGGGTTATGACTCTTGAAGGCAGACAGCATGATAATGGATATTCACAATCATGAGACATACGTGTAAAAGGCTTGGCATGATGCCTGGCATACAGTAAGTACTCAATAAAACTTCAGCAGCCATTACTATTATTATTTTTCTGAGCTACCAAAACTTTTTTAAAAGTTAAACTGTAATCTGTATGATTAGTATAAGGCAAAGAAGCAATGTTACAAAACATTTTAAATTACAAGCATAACACACAAATAAAAATTCAAATAATACAGAAAAAGTATAAGTCCTACCTTCCAGGGGTAACCACTGTTAAAGAGTCTATACTTTCTTCTGGACCTTTCCTATGCATAAACATGCACATATGAAAACAGAGCCCATCCCCACCCTCATCACCATTTAAAGTGGTATCATACTACACATATTTTTCTGCATTGCTTTTCTTTCCCCTCACTAACATCCATGCTATCTAGAGAGCTACCCTGATCTTTATGTCTTTAATTTTTCCTTACCAAAAATGGTAAGCATTTTTGTATATATCTGAGCACTTGTGGAAGCAGGTTCTGCAGCATACATTTTTAGGAGTGGAATTACCAGAGCAAAAAGTATATATATTTTAAGTTTATGAATTCTACCAAGTCCTTTCAAAAGGCCAAACCAATTTACATTCCCAACAACACTGTTAAAAAATTTATAAGGAGGGCTCTTCCTTACTTCCCAACACTGTTCCCAATGCTGGATATTGCCAATCTGAGAAAATCAAAAAGTATTTCACTGTTACTCTGCATTTTACTGACTGTCACAGAACTTTTAACATCCTAAATTCATTCACCATTTGTATTTCTTTGTGAATTACCAGCTCATAGCCTTTGCTCATTTTCTATTGATTATTTTTTTTTACTTATTGGTTTGTAGGAGGCCTTTGGATAATACCAATTTTTATACTTTGTTATATACATGCTACAATTATTTTACCTTACAATATTATTTTTATTACATAGAAGTTTAAAAACTTCTAATGTAGTCAGACTTGCTATCTTTTCCTTTATTACTTTTGGATTTTGCCTCCTGCTTATTAGGAAAGTCTTTCCTGATACCTCAAGGTTATAAAAATGACTTCCTATTTTTTAGTTTTGTTTTTTACATACAAATGTGAAATTTGTGTTTGTATATAGTGTGAAAAGAGGTCTTATAATGAAAAATTAAAAATAATACTTAAAAGGGGTAGCCTTCAATAATCTGAAAAATTCAGATATGCATTTCATTTTCTGATACCATGCAAAGAATGAAATGTTACTTATATTTAGAAATATGAACATTTTCCCCCTTTAAAGCACTTAAAAAGTGGGCCTACCGGGGCCCCTGGATGGCTCAGTTGTAGAGCATGCAACTCTTATCTCCGGGTTATAAGTCTGAGCCCCACGTTGTGTGTAGAGATTACTTAAAAAAGTAAAATCTTAAAAAAGTGGGTCTAGGAATATAATCTGCATTATTAATGTACATCAAGCATGTTAAACAGGAAACTCTAGTACCTGGACCGTGAAAAGAGAATGTGGTGTAGGGTCCTGCTGATATTGGCCAACAACACTGGTCCTTTTACTTTGATAGTCTCAAGCCAGTGGTTTTCTGGGTTAAAAAAAATTACTCTTCCTCAGAGAAATAGTAATTTAGAATTCCAATATGTAAAACATGTATCTATCCACCCTGAGAGAGCCCAAGAGACTTGTTAAAATTCTAAATTCTATCTTTAATTCTTTAGATAGGAACAAAAGATTCACTCATTCCTGTAACAGTGACTTCTAAGAGATCCAGCTAGGAGTGGGTATTCAAAAGCATAATAAGGTTCACAAAAGACCAACTCAGTAATTATGGTAGCTGAGTATGGGAGTCAGCCCTTCCCACCTGAAAACTGTACTGATTTATCAAGATCCATTTATATAGGGCTATCCGGAACTTCATGAGCATCATAAAAAACTGAATTTATATTACAATATCTACAGAATCTAAACTTTCTAAGCTTGTTCAGGTACTTAGTTTCAGTTCCTGAGGTTTACAAAAGATTAACTTAAAGGCCTTATACTATGAAAAGATAAAAAGCAATGGTAATTTTCCAAGAATCAGAGAAAGGCAGACAGTGCCAACAGGTGCCTTTTCTTTTTGCCCCAGGTAGAAATGCTCCTCCAAAAGACCCAGTATTAAAGGGAAGCTTGGAATTTGTTTTACCACCAGGAAGAATTAAGGCAGCAGTTCTTAAAATGTCGTCTGTGGAAAAACTATTTTCATAATAACACTAAGGTATCATTTGCCTTTTTTACTGTCAATATTTTACAAGTGTAAGTCAAGTTTTCAGAGGCTAAATGATGTAAAATATTGCAACATAATGAACGCAGCGAATCCAGATGTCTTCTTTTTGCAGAGATTTGCAAAAAAGATAAAATAATGCCATTCTTTTCACTAATTCTGTTGTTTGGGAAAATACAGTTCTTTTTCATAAAAACGTTAACATGTAATGATTTTATTATGTTTAAATAAACTTTTTAAAACTTAGTTTTCATGTCTAAAATGGCAATTGTTACTTACATGAACAAAAGCTCTCTGGGGGTCTTCAATAACTTTTGAGTGTGTAAAAGGGTTGTGAGACCAGAAAGTTTGAGAACTGCTAGACAAAAGCAAAGTCTTTCTGAATATTCTGTACTGGGATTCCGAGTTTTTAGATATCCCACCATTCAACCTTTATATAATCATTTTTATGTCATTACTTATCTGCTGCCTGCACATAATCACATGGAATCCAAATCCACAAAATACAAACTGTGTCCTCTAGAAACTATTTAACAATCTGCATCTGAGTATCAGTCTGTCCTCTCAGGTAACATATAAAGCTGCTTCTTACTTGGGGAAAGAGTGGCCTCTCATCTCTTTTCTTTTTGAGGCACTCTGCCATCAATCTCTTCATGGCTTTTGGACAGTTACTCCGTACCTTACTGAGATCTGGAGAAAGATATCCTCGTCCCACCATAAAAATTATCTGGGGAGAGAAAAAATCATACAACCTTGTATGATAAGCTGAAAAATACATAAACATTGAAAATTCAACAAGCTGTGCATTTATGTGTACTTTTCTGCATGTACACTGTACTTCAATAAAAAGTTAAAAACACAATGCTAGTATTCTGATTCCTATACATCATATCGTGGGGAACCGACACTTACTGAGCTGTAAGCTGAAATCTTCAGGACCTGTGGACTATTGTAAAGGTCTCCTAATTGTTCCCCAGGCTTCCAGTCTCTCCTTATGCAATCCATTTCCCACTGCCAGGGTAATCATGAGACACACATTGGATTGCGCCTCTTTTTCTACTTAAAATTAAGGAATTTATTGAGTACTTGTTGGGCATCACACTAAGTCCTTTATATATGTAGCAGGAACCAAAAAAGTTCACCTTTTAGCAGTTGTTTTGGCATCTGCATTTTAAATTTGTTTGTTGAGGGAATGGAAGAAATGGGGCATTTAGTTATGTAGGTCTGAGAATCAGAGCCTCCTCTAAAAAAAAAAAAAAAAAAAAAGAAGGTAAACCACTTGGGAATTAAATTTTCTGTTTAATAAGTAAGAAGGCTTGTCTTCCCTGGGTGCAGAGATGTATACTTTTTCTGATTTCTTAATTTTTAAATTTTTGGCTCTTTTGAGAATGGACAGAGACAGACTTTAGGAGTCTTGGGACTCTGTAAAGAGAAAGGGGTTTTGATTCTAAGAGGGAACAGGTCCAACACACACAGACTAGAGGCTAGGTGGAGAGAGCCAGTAAGAGATCCCCTGTTATAGACAGGACAGAGTTTATAAACTTTAGGAACAGTCAAGTCTGATATCCTTTCTATTATTTCCTCTTTGGTGCTGTAGTAATTTTTGTTCAACTATATAAGCTGATTTGCCTGAGCTCCACTAAAGTGGAGGTGTAAAGCTTATCCTCCTTTCCCATTGCCCCTGTCAGAACTGCCCTTCTCCTACTTTATAAAAAGCACACCCCTTACTACCCACATGAAATTTAACTATAGTACACATTGCTCCAAGGTGTAAAACTGCTGGGGTAACAATGAGACACTTCCAGATATTGGTATATAACTGGGCTCTAATGAATGGGTAGCAAATCCCTTCGCAAGACAGCTGGTTTCCAATTCTTTGCTTTCAGCAAAATTAACTGAATTGTCAGCTAATTGTAAAACTTACTGACAAGTTATTATGTAATTTTTGGTACATTAGAGAAATGAGTTCAAATAACTGAATGATGTATGTACGGTAAAGAATCAATCTTGCCCAGAGAGAGGGCTGGCCTCTGCCTTTGGCTCGTGGGAGGTAATCCCTAAACTTTTGGAATGTCCTGCCTGATAAGAGACCTTTTGTTTACCTGGGGGCCTTGGGCTATGACAGATAGTCCATGCTATCAAAGTGATTTATAGAAGGGATGTTGAGTCATGTAGCATCAGCTAAAACTAAGGTCAGCCACAGAGGTGGTCAACCATATTGACTTAACCCAAGCCCCGGTGATAACTCTGGATTCAAGTGAATTGGTTGGCAATACTCTACACACTGTCACACACGGCTGCCAGGAGAATTCAGCGAGAATTCAGCGCTGTCCACAGTTACATCGGGAGGAGACAACTGGGACCTCCACATGTGGAACTCTCCTGGATTCTGCCCTACGTGCCTCTTCACTCGGCTGTTGTAATAAATGGTAACTCTAAATACTAACAACCTGGAGGGAGTTCTGAGACTTACTGAATGGCTGAATCTGAGTGTGGTCTGGGGGACCACTGACCTGTGCATCTGGGTACCACAAACGCCTGATTTTCCCATCTTTGTATCTGCTTGAACAATAGTTCTCAGTGCTTACTGCTTTAAAAATAAAAGAAGGAAAGGAACTGATGCTAAGTCCTACCTCATTTTAGCAAAAGCCTATTTATCCACAAACATATGAATGAACTGAAAAGAAAAGCCACATGTTGTTCATGAAGACACACATTTCCAATAAAATTTTACCTTCTATGTCTCTATATATCAACACTTACATTTTCATCAGTTATATATTAATAATTATTAACAACAGTATAATTCAGAATTTTAAAAATTAACATTCAAAGACTAAAGTCACAGGAAAGATTCTAAAGTGGAGTCTTTTTTTTTTTTTCCCTGTAGGTCTGAGAATCAGAGCCTCCTCTTAAAAAAAAAAAGAAAGAAGGTAAACCACTTGGGAATTAAATTTTCTGTTTAATAAAGTAAAAAGGCTTGTCTTCCCTGGGTGCAGAGATGTATACTTTTTCTGATTTCTTAATTTTTAAATTTTTGGCTCTTTTGAGAATGGACAGAGACAGACTTTTGGAGTCTTGAGACTCTGTAAAGAAAAAGGGGTTTTGATCTTAGAGGGAACAGGTCCAACACGCACAGACTAGAGGCTAGGTGGAGAGAGCCAGTAAGAGATCCCCTGTTATAGACGGCAGAGCTTATAAACTTATAAACTTTCTAAATTCTAAATTTAAATACATATTTTTTATTCTAAATTTTTTTAAATTCTAAATTTAAATACATATTTTTTGTTGCAGAGATGGAACCTGAGTGATCAGTAAAAGCCTTGAAAGCATAAAATATGTTAAAAATGTTTCTTCAAAGAGAAAAACTTCCAAAAATTAATGAATCTATTTTTTAAACAAGTGATGGTAGGTATCAAGTCAGAATGGCTTTTAGATTTCACTGGATACACTGAAAAGAAGGCTATAATAGCTTTATTTTGAAATGTTAATATAATACAAAGGAAATCACATTCTTTGCAATTATTTAAACTTAAAGGGAAGACTTAACCTGGATAATACATGTATAGAAGATTTAAGTGGCACAGACCCGGTAAAATCAGTAGTTCAATTTGAAATTCTGGGACTGACTGGTTCCTTTCAGCCCTCCCAGCATCTCCGCCCCCTCATTCACTCCTCTCTGTTACTGGAGCAGTGTCTGCTCATCACGCCCTGCACTGCCTCAAGAGATTGGTAAAACTCCACTAACAGCATGGCCTGTGTTTCATTCATCTTTGTGTCCCTCTATATCCCACAGTGCTTTGCATATAGTAGTTTTGAAAATTTTTTATTAAAATAATTTGTGTGTTGATAAGACACTGGTACTTATCATTTCCTATTCCTTGTCTCTTGAGGTATTATGCTTAGAACCCATACACCGGGAGAAAAAAAAAAAAAAAAAAGAACCCAGCCACCAGGCTGTAACCAAGTCCATGCTTTCTGTGAAGAAGTCCCCACAGAAAGGCCCATGTGGAGAAGAACTGAGGCCCCCAGCTCTTGGCCCTGACCAAGCTTCCAGTGGACAGTTAGCACCACACCTTGTAGGATGTGTGAATGAATCATTTTGGAAGTGGATCCTTTAACACCCAATGAATGTACCCTAGGCAATACCATGTGACGCAGAAATAAACCTTCCTTACTGACAGCAGCCCAAACTGCAGATTCAGAATTTGCTTCAGCCACTACATTTTAGATGGTTTATTATACAGTAATAGTAACTGAGATATACTTAAAATAAGACAAAAGTTATCTTTTTCTTCTAAGATGACATAGCACTTCTGCTCCAAGAAAACAAAGACAGAGTATCAATATACCTAGCTCAAATGAGTGCATTAATAATCCCAACTTAGAAAAGCTGCACTGAAGAGGGAAGATTGGTGTGATTAGAAAGTGAAACAGATGGATAAAGAGGGGGAAAATGACAGCAATTTCTCAGACTTCAGCACTAGAGTAAGAAAACAAAAGATAAGCTATTCTGCAAAGTAACATAGGTATGGCCATCCCCTGAGGACCTAAGGGATGTGCTTTAGGAAAGAATCTGATCTTTATAACTACAAGGAATTCTTTAGTCCAGTTTTTTATTAAAAAAACCCATCATTTCATTAGATTAAGAGGTTATGATAAAACATAAAACATTCACACTTTTTTTTTCTTTGGATTGGTGATTCTCAACTTTGGTATAAATCAAAATCACCTGGGAAACTTGTTAAATGTAAGTGCTTGGATCCTACTTCATGGAATTAGAATTGGCTCCAGTAATCTCCATTTTTATTTATTTATTTATTTTTTTGAGGGGGGGGACAGAGAGAGAGAGAGAGAGAGAGTGTGTGCATGCCCGTGAGGGGGTCCGGGGGTGGGATGGCAAACAGAGAGGAAGAGAGAGAATCCCAAGCAGATTCCACGCTCAGCATGGAGCCCGATGTGGGGCTTGATCTTATGATCCTGAGATCATGACCTGAGCCTAAATCAAGAGTCAGATGCTTAACAGACTGAGCCACCCAGGCACTCTAGTATCTCCATTTTTAAACAAATTACCCAGGTAACCACAGCAAAAAATATAAATATTATTTAACCACAGTTTATATGGTCAATCATCATTTTCTAATATATTAACTGTGGAATTGCTGCAATCTCTCTCTCTCTACACACACACACACACACACAGACACACACACAGACACACACACTTTTTAAATCCTGAGGTATAAAATGTAATAATGTCAGTAAAGACAATTCCTTTTTCTTGATCAGTGTGAATTGAATGTGGCTGGGATAGAAAAGGCAAAGAGCTGCATGAAGTTCTGTTAGGGACTTTGGGGAGAGAACAGGCACTTAGGAAGAAAGAAGTAAAAAAATTCCCTCCTATTAGACTCATTATAGAAAAATGAAAGCATGATATCAGTCTTTCCATTTACCTAGTTTTAGAAATTAAAAAAAAAGAGAAACTTTAATAATTTTAAAAGAATTGGACATAAAGAAGCGCATAGCTGAGTGCCTGCTCAGCACAAGCTGTGACAGAATAGAAGGCACAAAGCGCAGACGCCGCGGCAGCAGAGCTCCTTCTTCTGGTTTGTGCGGTCAAGAGATGTGGGCGATCTCCGCTGTGGCAGCTCTAGTGTCTAGTCAGAACAACAGGAACTGCACTTCGTGACCACACTTGGCACTGACGTTTCAAGGAAGGCCTTACATGCTGCTATCACTGCCAACAGTCCACCAAAGGTTTCCAAAACTGGTAACAAAGATCAAAATATCCAACCTTCATGCCTACTCAGGACTCAACACTTCTTCTACAGCAAACTGGAGTCTTTATACAAATAGTAAAATAAACCCCAAGAGATGGTAAATATTTACCTGGTCCCTGTTGTTGATGTTTGAATAAGGTAACTGTCCGGTCATCAATTCATATAGAACAATCCCAAATGCATAGACATCTGACTGAAAGCTATATGGGTTTTTATCTTGCATTCGGATCACTTCTGGTGCCTGTTAGAACACAAAAAGAAAAAATATTCTTGTTTATTCTTCAACTAAAAGGACTGAAAAGCAAATTATTGCAATTCCTGGAACAATGCTTTTGTTATTAAATAATCCATCTAATATGCAATCAATTCTCTTATTAATGGGCAAAGAAATAAAACTGATTAAGAAAAAAATGTGCAGTAAGCTCTGAAAGAGGCAGTATTACTAAGACTTTATAATTTTATCAACCAACCTCTTTCTGCACAAAATACTGTCATTGCTATCTGAATCCGTCCCAGCACTAGCCCTATCAAGAATCAGTTCCCGTTTCCCATTCCTGATTCAGTAAAGAAATACCAGATCTGTGGTCCTATGGTTTGGGAGTAGTACAACCACTACGCTAAATGCCTCAGAATTTAAGTTTTCCCATTGGTACAATGGTTCGCGTCTCAGGGCACCTTCAAGACTGACAAACTCAAACCGCTTCCCTGCTTCCAAAAGCATTATCAACATGCCATGGATGCTTTATTAACAAAAGCGAGAGAGAGGAGGTCGATTTAGAAGACAGTATAAAGAATCTTGGCCTCTTGCTTCTTGGACAAAGATATAGACCAAACCATATTTGCTACATTTTTACACATTTTACTCACTGTATTCTACCACTTAATTTCTTATTGGCTGTGTTCATGAAATACAATAAATGGTCAGCTAAATATAAACTTAAAAGAGTTCTTTCACCTTGCATCTTCTGTATTGTTTCATTTGGAAGAACTGTTTCACTAGAGAAATTGCAGAGTGTAAGTAAAAACTCTGTGAAAGCATTACTTAGCTACGTAAACCTGAACTAACTGCATAAATGGCTGGAGGACGTGGGACAAGATTCCTGGTCACTAGTCAGACTATCTCACAAGGCAGGCCATGGCAGGCCATGGCACTCAGCCTCACCTGCAAATCACAATCACCCGTGTACTCGTTAACCTCTCAATGTCCAGACTACATTCCAGCCCAAAAATATAACAACAGAATCTGGGGATGGGATCCAGGCATTGCTGATTTTTACAGCTCCCCAGATGATTTTAATGTCCAAACAAGGTTGAGAACCACTGACAGAAGATGTGTGGGAGATCCTGATGAAGGATGGGGGGGTGGTGAAGGAGAAGATTTTGTCTACTTGCTTTTGTCAAACATTTTATTGCTGACTGCTTTTAGTAATACAGTACAAAATAAACCACATACAACTGTGATGTGATGAACAAGTTAGAATACTGAGAGGCTGGTTATGATCCAGGCATAATTTTAAAAGCCAGAACACAGTTTTGAGAGGAACAGAGTAATAAATAAAATTTAATAAATAAAAAGAACTAAACATCTTTTTTAAAATTTGGTTTTACTTCTACTGTTATTGGTATATGGCTTGATGAAACGTTGTATGTCACCTATTTACAAGAAATGCATCATTGATCCTCATTAATTTAGTGATTTAATTTGTAAAATTTTTCATAAGGATTTCTTTCCCCTCTAAGATAAATAAAACAAGGTTGACAAGAATTCAGAGAATTATATAACTTTAGTTCTGACTAAACTCTTCTTTACTAGTCTATGGATGCTCCATATTTGTTTTTGAAGGCAGTATCAACCCAAAAGGATTTATTCAACAGTTAAGTGTACTACTGGCTAATCTCTTGTATTAAAGCTCAGCTTGATGGAATAAAGGATGAACCAATCTACCTAGGTATCAACAAAAAATAAATTAGAAGAAAATATAAAACTTTATATATAATAATCTGCTAACTGTATAAACTAAGGTTTTTGAAAGAGGACAAACCCGGAGACTTAACTGAGCCTTTCTCCCACACTAGTTAAAATAAACACACCTTATAAAAAATTAAAAAAACAACAACAACACACCTTTAAAACATGTATCAATTGTTTCTTTTTAATTTTAGGTTTTACAATTTCAGTACTTGGTGTCTGCCAGCCTGGCCCTTCCTAGGATACACTGCTACCTTGTAACAAGATGTGTGCTTAAATGTGCATGAGATCCAGATTACAATGATTAATTAGCCTCGTGTTTATAAAATGATTTATTAAAACAATTAAAATATATTAAAGAAACAAACCTAGCTAGCTCCAATTACTGAATCTTAGCAACAAAAAAGGCATTAGAAATCCACTAGTCCAACCAACATTAAAGATGGAGAGACGTGGAGGAGGTTAAGCAAAGTGCAGGCCGAGAGTCAAATAGACTAAGTCCAATGTGCCCCTTCCACCTTGTCACTTGCCTTCACTCCAGTTATTTTTTTAATTTAAATTCAATTAGCCAAGGCATAGTACATCATTGGTTTTTGATATAATGTTCAATGATTCATCAAACTGGGTGATGGGCATTAAGGAGGGCACATGATGTGATAAGCACTGGGTGTTACACTCCAGTTCTTATTACAAGAAATCATAGTTAAATTTAACCTTATGTTTACTTGACTAATCCAGATGTCTATCTTGGAATTCCCCTCTTGGAGACTGCTACAGATGCAGCGAATTTATGCAAACGTGGCTTCAAGAGCTCTTGCAGTGTCTCTGTTTCCAGATTCAATTATTTAAAGTTTCAAATTGCACTGAGTTTGGGGACATTCCATATTCAGCTGAGAGCAGCGGTTCTCAAACTTTTTGGTCTCAGGACTCTTTTAGTTTTGAAAATTACTGAGGACCCCAAGGAACTTTCATGTGGATTATATCTATGAGTATTTATCATATTTAAACATAACTGGGAAACTGTTAAAATATTTAGTAATTTCATAAATAATAAAACAGCCATTAGATATTAACACAGATCACCCACTTTTAATGAAAAGTATATTTTCAAAACCAAAAAAGGTTCAGTGAGAAGAACAGTACTGCAATTCTCTTTGACTGGTTTAACAGCAGCCAGTTATGGTCACATATTTGCTTCTGCATTCGATCTGTTGTGATATGTCATTCTGGTTGAAGATTATGAAGAAACATCTGGTCTCATATGGGGATGACCCTGGGAACCTCCAAAAGGGTCTCTTAGGGCCCCTTATGAGAACTGTTAGCTTAGAGGATGATTCATATACCTGCCCTTTTCACAGCCTGCTGAAAGTAATTGCACAGAAGTTTTCATTCCCTTCTTTTCCACAAAGCAGAAATAGGAATAAAGAAAAAGCAAGAAAGAGCTATGCAGGGCTGCACATGGCTGATTGTGTTAAAAATTTTTTTATCTTTCCTCTCCCAGCTGCCCCATAATTATAGGTTCTTTCTAGTCCAAAGGAAGTAACCTTCCAACTTACGCTTAAATAAAATTGTGAAACAGCCTCTCTCTTAAAAGGAGTTCTCAGTAAAACCTTAATAATTGCTGCAGATCATACCTGCTGAAATTGCACACTTGTTTTTTCTTTTGGAAACAGGGTACACAGAACACTCTGAACACAAAATATTTTAAAGAGACAATTCTGCATAAAATTTAAACAGTGTTTATAAAATACATATTTTTTGTTTGAAATACACTGAAACTGGTTTCATAATACTTTTTTTAAAGATAAAGAAAAAAATCAAAATCTATTTACATAAAAAATAAGATCAACATTGATTTTTGTGAATACTGGGAATTATGAAAATACTACAGTCAAAACCTTCAAAGATTTTTTTAGTAATTCAGCAACATCTCAGGGTCCAAAAATTTAATTAATGGAGAAACAGCCTCAATTCTTACCATCCACAAAATGGATCCAGACAACTGTTCAAACTGATGGGACCCACTCCATCGAGATTTCACTGTGGCTAGACCAAAATCACCTATTTTTACTGTGAGGTCTTCATGAAGAAAAATATCTGAGGTGTAGTAAGTAAAGGAAAACAATAGATCTCATTTTCCTAGCAAAGCAAGCATTATAAAAATTTTAGGTAAGAGATCTAATTTCTAGAATTCTGTAATATGATTTTTTTTTTGGTAAAATTGATATTCCTTTAAAAAGTACAGTACTTCATATTTCCTCTTAAAGTTAATGAATATGTTTTTAAAAATATGGTTCTATTTAGCCTATGTGACCTGCTTTTAAGATTTTTGGGGCTTGAAATGTGGTAGGATGAGGTGAGATGCTTTCCTACCTCTGTTATGGGAAACCCTGAAACTTTCCCACTAGATTTTAGTAACACAGACCCAGATATGCTTTTGGCACTGCTGGGAAAGCTACAAAGATTCTTCATTGGAATGAAGTTGGTTGGCAGACAGGGTCTTGATCTGGGTTTATGGAAGAAGAAGAAACATTATGTTTTTCTCACCTCATTGTTACTAAGTTAGAACCTGCAGTTACATCTCAACTACTGCAGAGCAGCCTCAGAGCACTGAAAGAAATGAGTAGATAGCTATCCATTTTATGGTGCTGACAGAATGTAAGCACATAATCATAAGAGTCCTACTATTATAAAGACTTGGTAGATTTTTTTTGTAACGCTCAAATGTTCAGACACCAAAAGCATGTTGTAGTATCCTGCTTTACTATGCTCTCATGCAAACCCGTTCATTAATTTTTACATTATATTGAACTTAGCATGAAAACTGTTTTTACATAATGTGAAGACAAAAGGCAGAAGAAAAAGTCAGGATGTTTTCAAACTTCGCAGACAAATTTCAGGAAGGATACTATTACTCTTGAGGTCTCTGTGGATGATTGACTTGGCGTGTAAGTAACTGAAAAACAAAACATCATTTTAACCTGAGTAGGGGTAAAGACTCTGGCCTCAAAATCTATAGAACATATTTAGGGGTGTAAATAAAGACTTATTCAAAATCACGATACAATTGCAAACTGTACATTGTGATAACCCCTTTACATAAGAAATCTTAAACTGTAAATGAATTTAGGATTATAGGAACATATTACTATTATGGTACAGCCCAAATCTTATATTCTATTAAAAGACTTTGCTTTATCTTTTACTATTTACCAATACAAACCTTTCACTCCAGGAAGCCTATTTATCCATGTCCTTTAAATATACCTTGATTTTTAATCCCACCTCTGTGATCAATGCTCCCCTGCCAAACCCAACCCCAAATGAGCTTTCATTCTATTCCCCACCTATTCATACCTATCCTTTAAGACTGAACACACATTCTAACTCCTGAACAAAGCTTTGCCATGATTAACTCAACTGAAAGTGATCTTTCACTGTTGAGTTATATCATAATTATTGTAATGTTGAGTTATATCGTAATTATTGTAACAGCTTGATTCATCTATTTCTTTTCCTATGCCTATGGTTCGCTTTCTTTTCAGAATGTAAACTCCACTAGAGTATGAAAATTTGGTAATTTTAAAGGTAGTATTATACATTCTTAAAATAACTTCTTAAAAATATGAAGGAGCTTTACCACACGTTAATCATTTAATTAGTCTTACAATTAGTTAATAATGCTCACAGTAAATAATCCTGTTGTTGATTAGTTTAAAATAGTGTATTATAAGAGAAAATTAAATATTGCAGAAAGAAGTAAATTTCCAAAACAAGTAAACAGAAATAGTGAGGAGCAAACTTGCTACATAATGTCCACAGTGAATCTACCTTAAAGTCAATGATAAGTTTAAATTATCTGTGTTACCTCTAAAAACTGCTTTAGTTGAGTTCACTGAGGGTAAGAGCAATGCTTAGTTTATTTCTGTTTAATCTCCAGTGCCTAGCACAGTGCCTGGCATATGGTAAGTATTCAACATGTCTGTTGAATCAACTACAATGAAATGCATATAATATCCTAGTCAAAGTTATTTTTCTTCATTTAATACTGGAAGGAACAGATATATGAAACATCTAAAATCTGACAATGACCATTAGGAAATAAATTTTGCCTTAAATGACACTTTATATACCAAATGGTATATAACCAAAATTACGTAAAACACTTAAAAATCGAAGATTCATAATAATTAAACTTTATTTATACTTCCTCATCTTCATGTAAACTTCCTCATTCTCCCAGACATCAAGATTTTGAAACTTTCTTCTCAGATAAAATTTTCACTTCGAATGACTATTGATACAAAGGAACCCCTTCTCCTCCAATTACTCTCTTACATCACTGTTTATTTCTTCCACAGCATCTTCCACACTCTAAGACTCTCTTGTTGTCATGACATCTGAAGCCCAGTCTTGCCCCACTACATCACATGGTCCCTCTGAGGTTGGAAGAAAATGTGATGTCAGTTATAGGACTCGTTTGCTTAAAAAGTTCTGCAGTGACACAGAATGGTACAGATGGAGAAACAGGGGCCTCAATCACAAGCTTTTTCAAGATGGGGAGACCCTGTCCCCATTAGAAGAAAGGGGGAACAAATGGTCATGGTATCCGGTGGCGGTGCTCGGTGCTTTGGTCAGAGATCTGGTATTCAGTGCACGGAACAGGTGTTGGTCTTTGAAAAGAGATCCTGTCTCCTTTGAAATTAAAAACAGCAATAAATGGGTGGCAGACATGAATATATGGAGGCATGATGAAGTTATAAGGGAAGATAAAGGTGTTCTTGATGGTGTCAATCTTTTCAACAAATCTGATACAAAGAAATATAGCAAGAATAAGGTAGATAGCAATTAACTAGAGGGTTGAGGAGAAAAAATTTCTGACCAGGAAAGTACTAGATAATTAGCAAGATATGAATACCATTATTGAGTTAGGGATATAACCTTAGTAGAAGCTGGATAGCATAAATCTATTACAGGTTAAAGTTGTATATAGCTGCAACTTGAAATAGCACCACCTTATCTTTGTGTAATCCTTTATTGTTTACAAACTACTTTTCTAACTTTTATTTCATTTAATAATTCTCTTTCTGTAACATCTCCGCAACAAAAGCAGTGAAAAAGCAGAAATCCAGGTCTATGTAATGGATGGTTCGAAAGAAAAGGTACTCAAATTCCCCAGATGGAAAAATGGAATGAGTTATCATACCCCATATCTCTACATGATATAATGTTCCAGAGTAATTACTACCCTATATAATTCTATATAGGCTGACACTAAAACATAATTTTCTAAGCACCAATCAGTTATAATGAAAGCTGCCAAAAGACACATTAACTGGTTGAGGGTAGGGAAGGGAACAAGAAGAAATTAACTTTACTACAGATGATACAGAAGTGTATCCATTATTTAGGGCAATTAAAGTGGAGCCCCTTCTTAACTTTTCTAAGATGTTAAAGAGAACCTTACAGGTTTATAAAAGCAGCAGGAAAGAAAAAATATGCTATAAACCAAATGAATACATACCCTCTTGATAGGCTTCTCTTAGGTGTTTCTTTCCTTGAAAAAAAGTATCCACCTACAGAATCATTTAATCTGAAAGCTGGGCAATCATCTAGTAAAATCTGTTCTTTCTACTTCTTTCAAGTTATTATCCAAGATTCAGCTTTTTAACATTCTTTTTATAGCTTAATCTGATGCCCCAAGAGTAAATACAATACTCTAGATTTGATCTGATCAACATAAACTAGAGTGATTCTCATCTTCATTTTCTCCTTGAACGTAAAACCTAAAACCATGAAAGGCCTAGAAAAAGAAACATAGGTAGCAAGCTCTTTGACAATGGTCTTGGTAATGATTTTTTTTTTTTTTTTGGATTTGATACAAAAAGCAAAGGCAACAAAAGCAAAAATAAACAAGTGGGACTACATCAAACTAAAAAGCTTCTGCATAGCAAAGGACACAAACCACCAAAATGAAAAGGCAACCTACACCAAATGGGAGAAAGTATTTGCAAATTATATATCTAATAAGGGTAATCCAAAAAATATAAAGAACTTGTACAACTCACTAGCAAAAAACCCAATCTGATTAAAAAACAGACATTCTTCCAAACAACACATACAGATGGCCAAAAGGTGTCCAGCATCACTACTCATCAGAGAAATGCAAATCAAAACCACAATGAGATATTGCCTCACACCTGTCAGCATGGCTATTATCAAAAAGACAAGAAATAGCAAGTGGTGGCAAGAATGTACAAAAACGGGAACTCCTGTGCACTGATGAAGGGAACATAACATTGGTGCAGCCACTATGGAAAACAGTGTGCAATTCCTCAAAAAATTAAAAACAGGATTATCATATGATCCAGCAATCCCACTTCTGGGTATATATCCAAAAGAATTTAAATCAGGATCTTAAAGAGACATCTGCAACCTCATGTTTATTGCAGCGTTATTCACAATAGCAAAGACATGGAAACAATAGTGCCCATGAATGAATAAAGAAAATGTCACAGACACACGAGTATTAGGCAGCTACAAAAAAGGATATCCTGCTACTTGCAACAACATGTATGGACCCCGAAAGAATTATGTGTAATGAAATAAGTCAGAGAAATACAAATACCATACGATCACACTTATATGTGGAATCTAAAAACAAAACAAAAATCAAATTCACCTTCATCTTCCTTATGGTGAGTTAAAAAATTTTTTATCAGCCATTATTCTGATTATTATGGCAGCCATAGTCACCGTACTGACTCCTATTAAAATTACGTTGTTACAAGCCTACAGAGTTGTTCTTGCATTGCTGCAACAAAACAGTTTCCCCATCCTATATTTGTATGTATCTCTCTCTTTTTTGGAGTTGGATAAGATGTCATATTTTATAGACATGGCCTATAATTTCAGCTTATTAAAATTTTAGTTCTCAGTAAAAAATAAGTTTTGAAAGACCAGTGTGCTAACAAAGCCCTCATCTAAGTTATCTGTAAATGTGCCAGTCATATTCAAGAAAGAAATGAAACAAAAATCTCCTTCTAGCTTAGTAGCTTCAGGTATGATCAATACACAGTTATGAACCTAGCTGAATTCTCCATGCATGTTGCATCTCTCGATCGTATCCTCAACATTAGCCTGAGAAATATCATTCAAATGCCTTGCTATAATTCAAATACTATGGCTACATTTGCCATAGTATTTGCCTGGTTTATCAGTCTAGTCTATTTACAACAGCCCCAAGTGTCTCTCACTTAAGTTTACTGTTATTTTCTTTTATTTTCAACTGTTTCTAAAACCAAATAACTGGTCCACATAGACATTAGCATTTCAGTCCTCTTTCACTAATACTACATGATTTCAAAAAGTTCACCAGACTTCACACAGCAAGTTCAATCTCCCCTCAGACACCTACAGAGAATGTAGCAGCCAACTGGACATGACGGTGGTGACAAGATGATATTTGATCCAAGCAGTTTCCATTATAGTCTCCCTTCTACTTTGATGCCCTCTACTCCCCTCATAATCACAATGTGGAATGTGAGCAAGATTGAAGGGAATGACATTCTGCTACTCCTCTGTAGTCAATAATCATTTAGAACAGTTAAAATCCCTAAGAAGTGAAGTTCACACATTTTTCTAGTTGTGATCCAAAGTGGCCTAAATTCTATTTTTAAAGTTTTCAGTTTCTTTTACTTTTAAAAACCAAATTTATGAGGTACAACTTGCATACAACACAGAATGCACCCAATTTTATGTACAGTTTGAGTTTTGACAAATATATATACACTTGTATAATGACCAGCCACAATCAACACGAAGAGAATCCATCACTCCCCAAACTTTGTTCATGTATTTCTGCAATGACACCCTCCTTGGTTCAGGTAACCACAGATAATGATTTCTGTTACTAGAGATTAGTTTTGTCTTTTCTAGAATTTCATATAAACAAAA